GGTTAAGTCGTTCCCCACAAACCGCGCATTCGTGGTCAATGTGGGCAAAACGAAATCCTCAAAGCGGAGGATTGCTACCGGAGTCCTCAGGGTTCCGTCCTCACTCGCTAGTTCTTGTATATACCAATCCCATATATACCACGAATACGGCTTTACGCTGATGACATAATCGTCTTAGCAAGATAAATAAACCTAGACCACAAATTGAAAATACTACAAAAACAAATGAGCCGAACGCGTGGGTGAAAGAAAACCACTTGACTTTTTCAGCGGAAAAGTCACAGGCAATCTGTTACACCCACCGCAAGCACAAAAACACTAAACGTTTTACACTACCAAAACAAATTACATTTGGCATACAAAAACTGACATGGGCGCCTAAGGCAACTTACTTCGGCGTCACATTTGATCTAAGGATGCGCTGGCATTTACATGTCAGGCAAATTCAATCAAAATTACAGCAAGGAGTTCGACTCTTACAACTTCTTTTGAAGGAACCCACTCACCTTGGGACTTCGCTTGGCACTCTAACGTGTTGCCGCCCTGTGGCAACCTACGCTGCGGCAGCGTGGTGGACCACAGCACAGAAGTACGAGGATACACTTGAGCTAGTATTACTCGCGCAACTTTTCTTGAATGATGGATTGAAGAGGATTGAGTGGGGGTATTAGTTACGAAATCGACCACTAGATTTTATGAAGTAATGCCAATCTCTGGAGAATCTGTCACGCCATCGTAACGTTCTCAATAATTTGCGTTCTAACTTTATCAGGAGTTACAGGTATCTCCTGTGATAGATCCGTACCTGCTTCGGACATTTCTTTACATTTTTGGAGAAAATACCTGACAGAAGTTCTCATCTTCAAAAGAAAATTGTTTCCATTTCGCACCAGTGAAGATGTTTGAAATGTTGTCATCAGTGCTCGCTGCGAGCTTTTGCCTTCATTTGTTTATTGTGCCAGAGAGGGGGCAGCAAGGTCATCGTTCAAGAAAAGTTGCGCGAGTAATACACAGTTCTACGGCCCATAGCGCGCCCTCCGTTTCGAAAACGGTTGAAAGTACTGAGGAAGGAACTTGATATCGAGTCCTTCACTCAATGCTTGAGACGGCTTTCGTTAAACGAAGCTTATTAAGCCTTTCAAACCAACGAAGCTTCGACAAGGCTAAAACAATTAGCTCGACTAACTCACTATAGGACAAAGAAGACAAGCACTCCCGTCTGATATTCTGAGGGCGTAGTGCAACACGAAAGCCGATTTGGCTATTGACTAAGGTCCGCCACGAATCCACACCAGTCACTTACGCATAGCAGTAAAACGCGAAATGTGTGCGAACTGCAACACAAACCTTCGGCTAAGCCGGAAAAAGAAAAGAGAGAGAGAGAAAAAAAACTCGTGAAAACTTAGGCCTTGGCTGGCACTAACGTTTTGGGGATTTTTGAGAATTTCCACGGCCTCTTTAACCCTCCTCGGTCCCCAGCGGTCTTCTCTGGCTAGGACGCGGGTGTTATCAAAAAGAATGGCGAGGCCATTTTCCAGAGCCTACGCTCTCTCCTGTATTGTAGAACCACCTTGAGAAGTCGGCTAAAATGGTAATCTTAATGGGGCCATACACAATAAGGTAGGATTGAAAAAGAAATAGAAATCACGATAAAATTAAAAGCAACATGTATTTTCTCATGTACATATACAATATTGTGCAGTAACAACCAATTGAAACATGCTTACAAGAAATGAGTGAAAAAACACATAAGGAAAACAATCCCATGAGTGACCACAATAACATACATAAATTAATTAGCTGATAATAAGGATGTTACAATAATTTATACTTTTGAGATAAAACTAGTCTGATATTACATAACAGCTGATGGTAAATCTATTTATTATATTCAGTCTCATTATACTGACCACTTTACTTTTCAAATAGTAATTAACATCTTTAAAGTAGCACCGTAGATACAAATGTTATAAGCAACAAACTTAGTTTCTTCAAAACTTCAAACTCTTTGCCAATAGTACAAAAATACCAAATAATTTGCACCATGATTACACAACAATTTTAGCTTAACTATTACTTTTTATGGGTAGCTGCCTCAAAATTGCTAAGGGACAATCAAGGAGGATAAATTGTTGGCATATATTAATCATAACATTATTAATATTTTAAGTATTAAGAGCAAGTATTGTACAAAACAAAGAAACTCAACAATTAAGAGTTTTCAAAACAAGTCATAGAATTTTAAACTCAACATTATTAACAAAATTTCCAAATAAGTCCAACTCGGACTTATGGCTCTCAGGAAGATGATAACAACAGGAAAAATAAATTGAAGCCGTTTAGAAGAGAATATATAACTTTTTTAAGAGAATTTTTACTTTTAATTCAATTCATATTTGGACATCATTTGACATGTTTTGACTTTTAACTAAACATTGTCAACAAAATTGTAGCAAATTAATCAAATATTTCTCGACCTTGTAGTAAATGAACAACATGGCCGGATTTTCCTACATGCAATACAAGCAGTTGCTTGTTGGCCCCACACTTCGGAAAATGTGCATTACATGTTGCATTACAGGTAAAAAATAATGTATTGGTTTCTACTCTACAAATCCTCAAATTTAGGGATGCAGGTGTCTGAAATAAATGGAGCAGAAAAATGTGTTGGATCCTTCAATCGTTTACTGCCTGTGTATGCCAAGCTTTCAATGTCTACTCACTTATCTTCAAACCAACAAAAACTAAAAAAGTGTTGATTCACAAATTATTATACGTAATGTCACATCTTTTTGGACAAGCTCTCACTTTTTTTTAACTCTTAACCATGATACAAGGGTCTATTCTTTCCGGTCCGAATGGCAGAGATCGTAAAGGCAGTAGTGCCATAGCGATCTCAGACTGAAGGATTGCTGGTTCGAGTCCAGCCTTGGGCATGTTTGTATTGTGTTCGTCCCTTCCCCCCTATCATCATATCATGTCATCCTCATAGTAACCATATCATTACATGCAATATAATGGTCGCTAATGACTTTGAAGTTGATGCGACCTTAAAAAAAAAAACTTTTCTCCCATGTCTTATCAGTTTCTAGGAAAACGTAATTTCTATGTAATTTTGTTGACTGATAAGAAAACATAACAATCTCTCATGGTTAGAAGGTTTCATCATGAGGGAACCATGCCAAAAACAGGAATGTTTCTAAGTCATATGTAATAGAGCATTAAATTAATTTCATTCTAGAACTTTCAACAATTTCAATAAAAAAATATTGTATTCCAAAAGAAACATCTTTGTACTTGTAAAGAAATATCTAAATTTTAAGGTAGTATGAATAAAATTCCCAAAACATAAATAAAAAACACATGGTAATGTGAACATTATTTTTTTAATACTATTTGTCAAAAGTAACCATTTTCAACTTCCTATTTTTCAGGCCAAACCAGAGATGAGAAGTAATAAGATACAACTTCTTTTAAGCCATCAATCTTTAGGGTATTCCTAAAGTATAAAAACAGGGGAGAAAAGGATTAAAATATGTTGATGATTATTAAGAATGTTTTAATAGAATTTGTCAGAAAATTAATTTTAGGAAAGAGAAAAAACTTTCTGATGGTACAGATTATAGATATCTGAATCAATTAAAAACACATTTCCCTTACTTTTGTAACCCATACAATAAATTTTCACCCTGGCTAAAAAAGCTGTAATTAAAATTAAACTAATGCACACACAAAAAACTACAACAACGAAAAATGAAAAACTTACACATATGTATATTGAATTTATACAGAAAAAATGTGCTATTTTCCAGGAACCTGGAATGTAGCACATCTTTTCTGTTTAAATTTTGCATACACAAGGAACAGAAATCACACATTTAATTTTTTTTGTTTTTAGGAAGAATATAAAATAAGCCAATAATTTGTTCATTCCAAAACACACTTTGTACTGCAGTATAAGCAGATCAATGATAATATCTACTGCAAAAGCATCAAGAACACCGGGATGCATACAGGCATAACTGGTCATGTGAAGTGAATATACTGTAAAGAAAAAGGAAAGGGCTAACTTAAAGAACTAAAACATTTCATTAAAATTTTGCAAATGCACATGTTCCTTTAGGCTCATTTTTCCTTCCTAAATTCACTTCACATGGCCATTTTGGCAGTCGCAATGATGATATAGAAAAGTCCCATGAACAGGTTTGCAATATGTCCTACTAACAAGAATATCTACTTAGTTGTAATTCTCCCCAATTACATTTTGAGAAACATCTTTAAAAGTATACAAAATATCACCCATTATAATGCAACAGGACTCTCTAACAATGTTATTAGGAGAATCTATCTGGCTTCTTAGTACACAGAAAAGGAGGGAGGCAGATATATTATTACTAAAAAGTAAAAAATAGTAATTTGAATAAAAATAGTGCAGATTGTTTTCTGTAGAACAGAAAAAATTAAATGTTTGGGCGCAGCTCAGGTAATGCCAGGAAGAAATTAGCACAACCACACACAACCAGGAACTGCCCAGAAATGAGTACAAATAAGTTGTCTTTGATTCTGTAATCTCAAGCATGGCAAATCTTTTGAAGTCCAATTTCTTCATTACCTCGCCTCTTCTCCCAAGGTAATTCAGTTCTATTGATAAAGGTTATAAATAATCTGATACAATGATCTTCCATTAAAATTTTTTTCTTTGAAACAAAAAAGGAAAAGAAAGAAAGAAAGTAAGAAAGAAAATCTCACAAGTTCAGACATTGTTCAGTTCATTGTTTTGTGCGGGATGAAATAATCCTGATTCATTTCTGATAAACAATGAGAAAAAGTCCTGATTAAACCTTATTTACTTAACCTGCCTAGTAGTCAATCTTTGTTGCACTCAAAGAATTTTGAATTATATTTATGTTGGATGCAGAGATCATTCACAAATAACACTAGAAATATAGTTGAGTTGACAAGTTTTGTATGATGAATGAAACAAAAATACTTTATTATTTCCTCTTTCAATGTGCACATTTTCTTAAAAGAAAAAAGGAAAGTCATAGCTAACTTAGAATGTAATTCCTACAAAAAATTCAATCATAATTGCAACACAAGTCAAGAACAGATTAGTCAATTCAATCCCACAAATGGAATTTCAATAAGCTTCAAAACTTGGGAGCTTTCAATACATACATTTTATAAAGCTGCAAAACTACTTTGGTGACTGGCCAAAAAAATCTATAAAAATACAAAGTAATATAATATCTTCCAGATTTCATGAACAGAATTTCTCCCAGTGGCAGCTCATGATTATAAGTTGGTGGTTCACAAATAGATGTGGTGGTATGGTCTAGTTGTCTGCGTCAATGAACCCAGTTGTATGTAAGGCACTGTGAATCTATGTCTACTGCCTATTCTTGAAAGTAGTCAAAATGGGTGGTACCATCATGGAGGACATAAAGCATTAGTTTACCTTAAATGAACAATGCTATGTTGTTGATATTTCATAAATGTTTTGGTGTCAATTTACATTAATCTGAAAACATACAAATTTTAAGTTAGTTTGAAATTTTTTTTTGTCATAATGCTAATTGACACTCAAATAATTAGTACACATCAATGATTTGCTGAGCTGTTTTCACAGCTTTCTGATGAAGTTTGTCACCCCTGCCCCTCTGGGATCTTGTCATCAGCACACAAAACATGTCACTTGGGCAAAAGCGCACAACGCGAAAGTCATGTGCTCATTGGTCTGATGGCACTGTTCCCACCCCAGGGTCTTTGAGGGTTGACACATCGTGGAGTTACATGCCTTGAGATGCTCCATTGCCTGTCACTTACAGGCAATAATTCATCATCACCTGTACTTTAGCATTAAGACTCACAGGAGCAACGTGGGCCATTGCAATCATTGGGTCAACAGTTACACAAAATTGTAATGTTATTATAATTCATGAGAGTACTGATACAAATAATACAAAAGAATATTAAATATATTTAAATTGTGAATTTGTTTGGTTGTAACAGAAACCTCAACTGGCATGAGCTACCACTGCTTTCTGAACAATGAAGCAACATGTTAATCAATAAATTATTTCACAAAATAATACAGAACTTAAATGAAAAAAGATATAACAGTCTTAAAAGAAAACTTATGACAAAATATACCTTCAATCTTTAATATAGGTAACTGCACACAGATGGTAAAATTCACTTTTCATAATCTGCATATGGTACAGTCTTAATGCACCAAAAAGAGAGAAGGATTAATAGCACAAACTTTCTCAATTGCCATGCACCATTCAAATCATAATAATTAAACATTTTGCACATTCAAACGTAACCTAGGCACCCAGAATGGAATGTGGGAACATGAACACACCCACATTATCCTTCCAATGAACCTCATATTCTTGTGGAATGGAAACATTTGTCAAACCACATGAACTGCCCATACAAATTGATTGGGAAAAATGATTTAATGACTTCCATTTACACTTCACATGACAAAGGAATTCCAATTTGCACTGATTCCAAACACCCTTCCCAATGCTATAATAATGATCCTACATTTAATGGTGAACAGTGTTTATGAGGAACCCAATAAAGAATTGAACTTTTATCCTTTCCTTCCAAATAAAAACTTGTGTTTAAGAACTAAGAAAAGAATATATCTTGACTGCTTACAAAAACTGTTTCCAGCTTTTTACGATGTTTTAATGAACTTATAAATGGACAATACATACATTCTGCAAACTTCTTCAGTCGTTACAAATAATTGATATCTCGTAGGAAAGCTGACGTCTAAACATTGCCTGTTATTGGCATTCAATTCAAACATTTTTTCTTTCTTCTTTTCTTTCTAACTTTAACAAATATCAAACTTTCCACATCGAGATTTTGTTTTACTTTCTAACATACTACTTACATAGTCTAAAATAAAAAAATTCTGTAGCAAACAATGGCGATTTTTCACTGGAATAACTTGTTTTGTGGGTCCTTGATACACAAAAATTTATTTTCCAGAAAAATGCCTGTCAGTTTGCCTGTGAACAACATTGCATTAAGCTTGTGGAAAATAGCTTTATGGCACGAGTAGAGCCCGGGTTTCTGTGCAATAAAAATGTGTAAAATTTGCCGTATAACATGCACAATAAATCTTTAAAATATGCAATATCAAATTCCGAAATCAATGTTTATTACTAAAATGCAATGCAAAATGTTTGTAGAAAAAATTGAACAGTGTAATGAAGTTTTGCCTCTTTGAAACATGAACAAACGAATCATTGGCAGAAAAATATTTTTTGAAAACAATTTTATTGTTTGATTTCACTTGATTAACCATGATTGGAATGCTGTGATTTGAAGTCATAAATTCATCGAATGAAAAACATTCTATATTTAGGTAAAAAGTTGTTAAAATTAATGGCACGATACATTTCTCAATTTGTTTCTGAAAGACTAGTTTGTCTGTCTATTAAGACATTTTTACATGCATTTACGAATATGAGATGTTGCTACATGAGATCAGCGAAGACTTCCTTTGGTAGATCCTACTGACAACCATTGAGCACATAGCGTAGTAATACCCAAGCACAAGCTCTTGCTTACTGGAAAATGATTCCTGCCGGATAAGAAAACCACCATCAATCACAGATTTATATTTGAGTCTGAGACACTGAGTGCAACGATCTGTGTCCCCTTGCATGAAATTCAATATTACATTCGGCATTTCACCTGGTAGAGGTGAAATACTTCATTTAAAAAATAGTGTAGGCCAGATTTTTGTTACACTTCCTGAATTTTTGAAAATTGCAAAAGTTGCAAATATTATGTAAACGTATTTGCTGTTGTAATGCCATTAGTAGGAAGACTATTAGTATTTTCCTGGAACATAATTAACAACACTTTTCTCTATGGCTTTCTCTTCCTGTTATCCCATCTTCTGTATCAATTGTCCAAGTTTTCCTGTATGATCGATATTCTTTATATAAAATGTTTTGCACACTTCTTTTTGACACTTGTGAAACAGAACTACGTAATCTACTACTAACTACAGGGCCGACACAAGACCTTCTGGTATGAAAAACTTGAAAGCAAGATTCAAAGAGAAATTCTTTCCTTTATGACTCAATTGCAACAATCAGAATGAAATGAAACTCAATCACAAATTCAATCAGATAACAACAAATTTTGAATTTTTAAGAGATTTCTTCACTGCAAACTGAGAAATGCACCTCTGTAACATCAAAAGACCTGGGAGGTCAAGATTGATCCTAATAAACATATTAATGTTTAATATCAAACATGTTACATAATGCAGAAAACACATATTGCTTAATCTTCTTCAAATGGACAATATTTTTACTCTACAAAGTATTAAGTTGATATATATCAACATTACGCTTTTTCTTCCTTGTTAAAATAATATAACTACGAAGTCAGGTTCAGCTGGACCCCGCATAGCATTAGGAAGGATTTTAATGAATAATGTTCATGAACCGTGTACAATCTTTTAATTACTATAATATTAATTTTAGTGATTAATTCCACTAGATATAATAAAAACCATTTGACTCAGAGACCACACAAAGAAAGTGAGGTTCCTGGAAGGTGCACATGTGAACATACAACCTTGTAAGGCAATTACCCTGATTTAACTTTTTACAAAAGTCACTTAAGTCTTTGTATATCATACCTCCTTTTCTTACAAATTCCACGTGTTACTCCTTTTCCCTTTTTAGAATAGGGTAACTTATCACAGAGCACACATTATTGACTATAATCAAACATAATGGCTTTTCTAGCTCTATCTTAGAAGATTTTTCATTCACTTAGGAGAATGAGAAGAATAGTTGCAGCCCATCCCAGAACCCAAGAAATATGAAAACAAATTTCATTCTACACATCCTGCACAACAAGCAGGAGTTATTTGGACCTCGGAAAACCACACTCTAGCAGAACCTGCTGAACTACAACCAATCACTGCAAATGAAAGAATTTTACAGTAATGGGAACTGATCCACCCTTGCTAGTAGAACAACCACCTGGGAGTCAAGTCACTCCCATTTCCTATTTTTATTGGATCTGCTTCAAGATGGCATCATTCCATCTGCTGCTGCAGCAGCAGGAGCTTCTCCATAGCAATGTTTGGCTCGAGGATCTCGGTATGAATTTTCATGCTGCACGCTTTGTGAGCTTGTCCGACATTTTGCAAGGCACAGTTCAAAATGATCAGTTACTGATGCAAACAATACATTGAAGGTCTCTGATGCTTTTCCAAGAACACTTTGCAGGAGATTTTTCTGAAAAAGTTAATACAAGTATTGAATTGGGTGTGTTTATTTAGTAAGTCTTTTATTTCACATTTTATTCATTTATATTGCCTTAAAATAAGTAATTACTGCATTTGCTAGAACATACAAGTACATATTCTACTTTGAAAAATAACACTAAAAAATGAGTCATACAAAGGTGTAACTCAATACTGTTCAAAAGTAGAAGAAAATTATCCCTTTATTCTGGCTTTTACCTTGAGTTTGACAGAATGACAAAACTGTGCTAATAAAAATCTTTAAAAATTATAAATTTTATTCAAAAGTAAACTTGACAAATTTTGCTACTTTGGAAACGATTTTTGTCCTTATTGGCCAAATTCATAATTATTCCCAAAAGTCCTTATTCTTAGGTGAAAGGTATTAATTCTCTGTTGGTTTAAATTTCATGTTTAAAAAAATTATGAATTATAAATTGATTTTCAGTAAACTCATTTCATGAAAATAATGTTTGAAAACATCACAAAATTATAACTGCATTGGCTCAAGTGACGAATAGTTGTAAGAAATAGAAAACAATAAGCATTAAAGAATTTTCCAATAAAGTTCATTTAGAAACCTATTTTTCCATCATTTTAATTTTTTACATAGCATAGTTCATACCAACTATTTTTTTTTAAATATCCGCTGGCAACAGAAATTGCCAAAAATAGTTAACATACTTTGTAATGAAATGATGTCAAAAGTTTTATTTTTCGAAAGCCTTTAAATTCATTCTTTACAATACAATAAGCACTTTCCTAAACATATGTTTAGTAATAATAGAACCATTTTTGTAATAAAAAACAAAAATGCTGTTTAATAGAGTAAATGCCCTTCCAAAAAATTATATTAATTATTTGGAATGATAACATAACATTACAATATTAGATAAATTGGTAAAAGAGTTTCCAACTCCCAAAAATATTTGCCTGATTTGAATTCGGGTGCTTAAGTTAATGAGGCAATAAACATTTCTTTTTGCTTCAGATTCTGGCTTTATACATTATTCATTTCAAATGTTATAATGGTTTCTCAATGCTGTTACGATTCTAACAAGTTATTACGTTACAGCTCAAAATTTCATAAGAACAACAAATATTTTTTTAAAGTGTACATGAAATAATCTAAAGATATAAAAATGAGGAATACATTGATTTAAAAAAGTAATCGCTAGCTTTACTATTCATGGTGTAGGTTAGGTAGAAGAAAAACTTAAACTTTGCTACTGTTTACTTCAAAATTGGTGTGAAAACTACTAGCAGAAAAAGTGAAAATGAAATGATTTAAGGATTTAAAATTGAAGAATTCTTTAAATTAAGAAATAAATTCCTAGCATCAATATTGCCCAAGAATAGGTATGAAAATATTATTATTAATTATTATGCAATTATGAATTATTTGCAACTTTTTAATTTCCAGAGCTTATAAAAAATATTTTCAATTCTTTTTTCCTGACCAAATTTTAAAGAACAAATTTCATTATAAAAAATAAAAAAATTTTATCTTCAATAACATAATTGTAGGAGAGAGTAGAAAAATTTATAAACTTTTAAAATTTACAGTGTATCAGACGTATTACTGTAAGTCACTCCTGCACCATTTTTATAAGTACTTTGCAATAATGGCAGCTATGTAGAATCTTGCCAAAAATATTTGAAGGACAGGAAATTGACCAAATAACTGTCAACAAGACAAAATGGCATCAAGTACCAAGTTATTGTCCGTACTTGACTAAACACAACTTGCCAGAATACTTCAAGCCTTTAAGCACATTAGCGAGCTATGATTTGTGATAAACATTATATAATTTTGAAGGAAGATAAGCAGAGATATAAAACTAAATGGATAAAAGAAAGCGACAAGAAGATTATCATCTTGCAAAACCAAATTCTTATATATTTGTCATTTTCTCAGAAATTGATGAGATTATTCAATTTTTATTTATAATTAGGAGCTTAGGGGTCATCCAACCAATATAGTCTCATGAATAGGGCCTAAATGTTTCTGATCTACAAATGTTAGAAATATGCAAACATTTATGAGCTAAAAATACAAAAATATGACCATAAAAACAACTTAAAAAATTTTTGGTTCTATTTTCTAAACCTTAAAGTCCTTGTTTAAGTAACCATTATAATGAAAACACACATTTAAAATCTAGCACAATTCACCCCTCCTCCCTAACGTGCCCTGTGAAGACAATTCTATCTAATCAAGTTATTTATAGAAGCGATTGACCTAGGAACAAAACTGACAAAACTAAACTAACACTTCCTTCGCATTTGGTGCTTTCTACATTTTCGAAAGTGTAAAAACTTACCCTTCTAATTCACTTACATATACTACATTTATAGGAGTGCAGAAAAAAATTGTAAGAAATTACATAACAATTAGGATATGTGAAAAATCTCATTGAGACAACTGCAAGCAATTATGCAAGAATGGAATCAAAGATGAAAATATGACAAAAAAGGGAAAATTCATGGAAAAATATGACATTAAAAAAAATTAATGGAAAATGACAAAAGGGTTTTTAAAAAAAAGACAAAACATGACTTGTGAAAATTGCATAATTTTAGTCATTGTAAATAAAATCAAGCTTAATTTTTTCCCCCCTGGAAATAACACCCCCAAAAAATGTACAAATCTGACATAAAAAGCCAGGCCCTACTCATTAATAACAACCCAATGAATTGATTGCCTTAATGAGAGTAATAAGGTGAATAATTAATGGTGAAATTTAAGGGTAAGGAAATGGGAGAAACCCAAGAAAATCTACAGAGAGGACACTTTGTCCTCCATAAATTCCACGTAGATTGGCAGGTGATCCAATCCAGGTAAATGGCATATGCCGTTACTCAGATGCCCCATTTATTATTCAGAACTTTCCAGTATGAGTGATTGAAAGTGAGCATACAATTTTTTTCCTGTGAAGAAATGACTGAAAGTGAATGTGTTCCGGCTCTCTTAATTTGAATCCAAAATGTAGTACATAATTCAATGTACATTTGTGGTGTCTATCAAATTACTTTGGAAAAAAATAGTTAAAAGTAGAACAACAAAAACTGAACATCTGCACAGCTTATGTAGAGTTAAATAAGTTTTTGATAGAGAAAAGAAAAAGAAAAAAGAATGAGATGCACCTAAGACCAATTTTAAGATTTAAAGTAATCAACAGTCACATTAAGAGGAATACTAATATTTGATCTTCTTTAAGACACGAGAAAACACATATTGTGAATAGCTTTATGTAGACATAGATCATTATAATGATTCAAAGATGCAATAAGCATGAAAGGATGATACATATGAAATATTCATATTTCATATTCAAGAAATTATGAATATTAGAGTTAAAATATTCTTTACGTCACTTTCACATCATTGAACCAGATAAAAACTGGTAGAAATTAAGAGAAGAAATTTTAAAAAATGCAAAATGTTGAAAAGAAAAAGGTTCTCACAACTGTGACAGAAACAAGGTAGTGGGAGGATGTTGAAATTAACTTTTTCTGTGTTTTTTATATTACAAGTTTTGTGATAAAATAACAATTACCTTAAGTTTCAAATTGAAAATTTTATTAAAATGCAAATTGAAGACATTTTCTAATATGTAACAGGTTATTAATATCGAACTATAAATAAAAGAATGTTCAAAATAATAAAAAATGTGCCTTGTTTTCATTATAAAATATTGAAGTAAGTCCGCCTTAAAAACTGTGATTAAATAAGAAGTAATACGTTGAAGAATTACTGAACATACCGGCAGCTTCTGAAACCACCATTTTGATAAAATACATCAAGAGCACAGGACTTTATAAAACATCTCATGACAAATTTCCTTTATGTGACATCAATCCTTTTGGTATATTAATTAAAAAATTATGCACATTAAAAAACATTTACAAAACTGCAAAATATAACCACATCTTTGTTTAGCAATTCTTTTCTTTGGAGACAAAAGTACCAGCATTATTTTCTATATAAAGAATAATAGTTATGATAATTCTTTGTACCTTATCTGGGTGCAAGCAGCAAGAGATGCAATACTCATAGATACTGCAACAACCATTCTCTTTGCAAGTTTCACATGAGTAGCGTTTAGTATTCTCTGAATCAGTGTTGCAACACCCCGTGGACAGAACATCTGTTCTTAAACAGACATACCCTAAACCACAATTTCATATTTTATTAGAATCATATTAGAAACATTAACTTACTGATTCTGGAGCACATGAAAAAAATGTGAAAATTAACATTAAATAAAGAGATTTAAAAAACTTCTACTTTCAATTCATAGTTTTAATTCATGGAAATCATACATTTTTACATTTATTTACCTTTGTCATCTGAAATCAATACCTTCCCTTGAACTGAATTGCGGCATGTAGTTACGCGCACGTCTGTAGCATTTGAATCGTCTTTAACAGAATGCCAAAGAAATTGTTGATCATAGTGCCTCATTGGCACTGATATCTCAACAGTCACAGAATTGTCGGCCTGGAAATATGTCGTCAAATCATGAATATATCTTATCCAATAACAAAATAACTACTTCCGTACTTGTAATTACCAAATATATTTCCAGTTTTTTAATAACTTTACATATGATAAGACTCAAATAATATTTATATTCAAAATAGACGTGCCAGTACAGGCAGTCTTAATAAAAGTAAACAACAGAATTATATTTATTTACTGCTTGTAACAAGTAAAGGATTCTCATGTTTTCAAACCATAATTTAAAATTGCACAACACATTAACACTGACTGATACACCTACTTTTCAAACCAATCAAACAGCTAAAATGAGCACGAACTGGTAAACATACACTGTTGTCATAACATAACCTCTTTAAACTCACCTCGTGAAGGAAGCTAACGACACAGTATGTCAAAGATAAGGCAAATATAATACCAAGCACTATTCGTTTCCTTAAAATGCGAACAACAAATGCTGCCCACATCTTCGCACTTGCGAGACACATTTAGAACGGGGAAGTATATTTAACTTATATTGCAACACAACAAACACACATGCCTAGCCCGAAGGCCACCATGCCAAACGACCCTGCCCGCCCCTTTTCCCACGTGACCGGTGGAGATTCACTGAAAAGGAAGGAAAAATATGTGATACATAATTTATTTTTTCAATTAATCTACAAAATACTATCTTTCAACAAATACTGGCACAATTCGAGCCGAATAAATCTACAACTTGTTTCTTTCAGAATTCTTCAAGATAACGCATCCACTAATCCTTGAGGTAGTTCGCAGAAAGGCACCGTATGTGAGAACGGAAGACAGGTCTTCCTCGTGTGAAAGTGGATGGGAACCTGAAAAGAAGACAACTTTTGAAATTTCTGACACTGTAATGAATTACATGTAATAAAGTAAAACAATATAATGAGTACATTCATAAACATGCCTAAAATTGTATAATTTATTTTGTCAAATAAATAATTGAAATTATTTCTTCTTATTATTTTGTGGCAGAAAACGCATACGTTTTCGGGTTTCGTTTCTCACTCAACTTTGTTTTCAATTGGAGGGTTCACGAAATAAAAGTTGAATTTTTTTGTCATAACATAAAATTAATTTCTATACAAAACAGCATTTTTCCAAAGTAAAAATGGGGGGAAATGGCATTTCATTAAAATCATCCATGTTCGCACCCTGTTGCCTGACGTGCCGGCTGGTGTGTTAATAACAGCATATTTGCACCATAGTTTAATCGTTTGAACGATGCTGTCTTTTTTATTATTTCTTCTTTTTCGCCTCCCTAGGGCATTATATGAAGTGCAGATTATTGGGCAGTCCTTGAGCAATTATTAAAGATTGTAAAAATCATGTGGAAGAGATTAAGTGACTTGAGATTAACCAAAAACAATTATTTTGTCGAAAAATCGAAATCCAAAAGGAAATTCGATTAAATATGCTAGGTGAAACAGTTTAGGCATTTCTTTAAAGACGGCAAATAGAACAAAACACATTCGGGGCCCCTGAAGAGTTTGTGTTGACTTTTTTCTTTTCCATAAATCCGCCACTGCATCACATCTCGCAGAAAGAGTCAAACAGAAAAATAATGATGATTATGGTGACGAGTATTGCAAATACAGAATTAATCAAATTCTTAATGAGACATTTAATTTCTGAAATGATCAAGTCATGTTTACGAGAATGTCTTAGTCACAGCGAAAATTATGAAGTGTACGGTTTATTTCTATTAACTTTTGAATTTCAGAATCTCGTTTTTTTAAAAAAGATAATTTTTAACCGGGCATACACATATTTTTCAATCGTAATGCAGTCACCGTTCATTAAACAGCACTCTTTTCCTATCGGTTTTAAAATTATACTGGGACGTAATGTATCTTGGTGAAATTATCCGAGGAATCTAAATTCAAAGACCTTGTAATTCTGACAACCACCCCCTGCATTTCTGCGGAGGGTGCAGAGGGTCTATTATTTAAGAAACTCTCATATTAAAAAGTTTACACAAGTGGTAGTATACCTAATTTTTATTGAGACTCTTACTGAAGTACCCTGCGTTCCCAGGGTATTTAATAATCACAATAATTCTGCCTCACCTGGCCCTCCACACCTTGCCAAACTTATTACGATTGCTGCCTGCATCGTTGCGAAGGGGATACGTATACAGATGATTCTTATTTACTCCCGGCAAACGCCCAGTAACAAATTCGATTTTCACTTATTCTGAACCTAATTGTGCATCTTGCGTTGAATCGAAATGCATTTACAAGGTAATTTTATGGGCTATGAGAAACGTGTAATTCACTTTGGTGAATTTTCTCACTGTGTTGGAATCATTTGCTAAAAATTGAAAGATTGTACCCTGAAATTTTGCTGTAAAGGGTAGGAGAAAGTTTTACGAAATCTCATGCAGACAGAAACTTTTCTATTGTTCTGACGATCTCTAATACCAAATTTCATTTAGATGGGAATAAAACTAGGTTTGTGTAAAAATCAAACCTTTGTATAAAATAAAATAATAATAATTTGAAAAATGTAGCGTAAGTTATGCCCTTTTTCACCTTTCAGTGAAAACCACATCGAAATTTGTTCACCCATTCCAGAGATTATCCTGGCCAGACAGACCCAGTCACAAATTGTGAAAATAGTTGATGAATTTTTCATACCTTGTAAATAACATTAGATTTATAAAAGGCTGTTATTTTGAAATCACTCCCAATTTTGTTTGGGTTATAACTGTAATATAATTAACGGTGGCCAATTGGCTCAGCATTTTGAATCGCTGCCGCCTGTCACATTTTAAGGCAACCCGCTTGACGTTCATGCGTCACACTCTCTTGTGTCGCATCGACACCTGCAGGAAGGAGGAAAAGGAGGAGAAGGAGGAGGCGAAGGAGGACGAGGAGGAGGAGAAGGAGGAATGAGAATAAGAAAGGTTTTTTTACTTTACCCGATACTGCGTGTTCTGCATTTACTTAACGAATCATGTTCTATTCGGCACAATGTTTCTCGCTTGCCTCCCCGGTTCAGCGGGGTCCAACGTGCGACCAAATCACTGGCGCTTGTCTCTGACTTCTTGATCATAGTTTGTTGAAATTAGTTTTTCTTTTTGCTGCGTAATTCACTTTGTATTTGGAATTACATGCTCTTCAAAGAAAGTTAACGATATTTTCCCACAAGTATTGAGGTCTCGCCCTCGCCTTTATGCGAATACTGCTATGCTATGTCGCTACAAGTTATCTCAGCCAAGAATCTCAGTGTATCAGCTATCAGACCTGAAGAAAATGTAATGGATTGAGTGAGAAGCTATTTCACCCACTAATCAAGTCATGTAGCTCTGCCACTGTGCACGAGATAAATATTTACAGTTGTGGGAGTGGAAAATGGAGAGGAAAAAGATATATGCTACGAGTAATCATCATCCGTTCGGGAAAATACAAAAAAAATTAAAAAAAAAAACACTAAATGATGGGGCAATTCCTTCAGCCAAAGATTTTAATTACTTAATTAATTTTTGGACATTTCGCAATATTTAAAGAATTAAATAGAACAAATGTATGCAATATGCTGTATATTACTGCAGGAATTTTATATTTGAAATATATTTCTTATATTGATCAATTTTTCAATTCAATTCATCATTCCTTCAATTTTCGGGTTCAAAAAAATGCATCATGGACTTTAAGACGGTTGAATCTGAACATAGCATGGAAATTAATGCAAAATGTTTTTTTTACTCTTAAGCTTATGTTCTGAACAATTTAAATTATTTTGCAATTATTAAACCTTTATTTTGTCTTGCACCAGTTATTAAAACTTTATCATGCTTTTAGATAATCTTATCTTAAATTATTTACACAATTTATATTGCTAGTATGTCTTTAACTCAACTGTCAAGTGTATATTTAGCACAAAGAAGAAACTGTAAGAAATCATCGTAAGACAAAAAGAGAGTGAAATTAAAATTTATGTTGGCAAATCTGCAGAATACACGTAAAACGTCCAAAACTGAATGCAAATTAAGCAAATTCACAGTGCGCCTATCTCATCATGAAATTCAAAACCTTCTTGCCTTCAAAATTTTAAATATAGGGTACGTGTAAAATATTTCCTAGCAGTGTCTAAACGTTTCTACACTCTTACGTTTTCTTCAGATCTCATTTCGTTGACGCAGTAGGAGTGGGGTGTTTGATGACGACGATGGCAGGAGTACTCGAATTATATCAAATGCAAAGTTCTTTTTTTTTATGCACATAATATCTATTGTACGGGAGCGAAACTTTCTTGTTATGAAATGCTATTCTTGCTATATTTGATTTATGTTTAATCAAATGTATGTCATCAAATGTATCATTTATGTATATGATTCGACTAATGTGGATTGAGGGGCGAGGCCTATCGGATGCGCAAGCGCCACTTAATCGCACCTTCGCGAGCGGCCTTCGGGAGACGATGCGGTCGCCGCGATACACGATGCGGTAGGCGCGCCGCTTCGCCCCGCGCGGGGGCGGCGGCGACGGAGGCGAGCGCGACGTCACCGCCGGCGCAGCGGAGGCGGCGAGGGCGGGGGCGGCGGGGGCGTCGCGACGCAGGCGGCGTCCGGCGGCGGGCGGGCGCCAAGCGCGGGCTGAGGGCAGAAGACGCGCCGTGCGCCCCATCCAGGGCCCCCGGCCGCATCGCCTCCAGCGCGCGCCGGCCGCCGCCTCTCATGTACACGGAGCGGCCGCCACGCGCAGCTCCTGCCCCCGCCGCGCGCGCAGCTCCCCGGCGGCGCACCTCCTCCTCCTCCTCCCTCCCGTTGCTGCTGGCGGCCGCTGGCGCGCGGCAGCGACGCCGCCGGCCTCCGCGTCAATGCCGTGGGTACCGCCGGCCGAACTCCTGCCATGCGGGAACCTGCGCCGCGCCCGCCGTCTCGCTGCACCTCGGGAGGGGGGGGGGGGGCTCACCGCGCCTCACCAAGCAGAAGCGGATTTCCGAAATTTAATGGAATAATTATTACAGTCGCATTTTGGGCAACCCCTTCTCGACGATTCGGGATATTGCTTTGCTTGACACAAGTTCTAATATAAGTAGAAGTAAATCCTGCGATGATTCCTAAATATAAGGTAATGTCTTATTGGTAAATCGAAAGCAGTAATACATAACACAGGTCCACAAAAAATGTCATCTTTTTTTTAGATCCAATAACTGATTTTATATTTTAAAGGGCAAGGATGACAGAAATGACTTCCACTTTCCCGAATCACGTCAGGTTAAAAATAATAATTAAAAGTCCCTATATCTTGAACTTGAAAATCTGAAAACATTGTTTCATGAACATAAAAATAAGATCTGAAATTCAATTGACCTTATGTTATATTTTATAACAGAGTTAAGAAAATGAAAATGAAACACATTAACTTAAGCCATTACTTTACGATTTGTTACACTTCACTGTTAAAATCACTGTTTGTTTTCACGCGTATGAGCAGTCAATAGAACCGTTCTCGCTTAGACAAAACGTTTTTTGTTCCATTTGTTTTCTTGTGCACTCTAGTAGGACTATTTTATAACCAACATTAGTCAGCCATCATTGATGAATTCCATCGCCCTTGGTAGCGCCTTTCAATGTCTTTTAGTATCTTGGTGAAATCTCTCACTCTGTACATCACTCACTTCTCCCAGGTTTCCTGGAAAGCAGTTTAAATGCGAGTGAAGGAAATGCAAGTTACATCCTAAGGCTTGCTATTTCTTTCCGCATAATATTTACATAATAGTTTGAATCTTTATACTTTCCTAAGAACTTGTGAACTACTTCTTTGAAGCCAATCCTAGCCTCCCTTTCTGGAGGTGTCATACATGCTTCAAAATGTTAATCTTTAGCTAGGTCTCTGATCTGCGGTTCTACAAAAATACCTTCTTCGACTTTTCCTCCTGAGAGGATGGGAAATTTGTTGGTTAGGTAAAACAATTTCCATTCTTATCCAGTGCTTTAGTAAATTGCTCCATTAATCCCATTTTAATGTGTAAGGGAGGTAACAGAATTAGTTCAGGATCTACTAAGCTGTTTTTTAAAATGTCGTAATCAGTGTGTTATTTCTAGACCATTCTCGTCAGACCATTCAATGATTCTTTTTGTCTCTGCTGCCCCATTCGCAAATGTGACGTGGGTGTTTGGTGTAACCCTATTGTTGCCCAAACAACATGCACGAAACCTTTAAATCCCCGCAGATCATCTATTTATATTGCCCATAATTTACCTTTTCGAATAGAAAATGAAGATTGTCATATGTCTCTTTAAGATGGACGGTATGTGCGACTGGTACAGATGCTAAAAGAGTAGCAACACTCCATTTAAACTTATTTTGCTTGAATCAATGAAAAGCATCCATTTGTCTGTTTTATACTCTCCTCCTAATTTATTTTTGAGGTATGGAATGTGAGTACAACATACTAAGAAGTTTGCCTGATGAAAATACAATATTAAGACTTTATTTATGTCTGTAAACTGTAACATACGTTTCTGAAGATATAAGATTCTTTCAGACGTGACGCTAAAACGTCAGAAGCATCCTTTGTGAGATTTAAAACTTTGACCAAATCGTTGTTCTGTTTGTGTTAAAGGTTTGGGTTTGTGTTCGGTTCTTGCTCAATAATATTCTTCAGCTGGCTCACCGAGCGTTGAGCTTGAATCAGAATGCAGCACTTCGAGGTTCAAAGGAGGTTCTGGTATAGGAACGTTACTTCCATTTGGTACAGGTATTCTAGCAGACTTCAAATAAGGATAAACCATGCCGTGTCTGTTCTTTGTATTGAATCCTTTTACTTTGCAAATACAAAAATAACAATCGTCTAGATGGTTCTTTGTCTCGTGCCACACCATAGGAACTCCAAAACTCAGTGCCTTCTTCTTCCCCTTCGATCAATTTCTTAATCCTGATCCCCCAATTTCATTCCACAATAAGCGTTATAAACACTCCTCACAAATGAGGTGAAATTCTGTCTCGGTTTTCAATTATAAAACGTCTACAAATATAAGAAAATATATTTGAGTCATTCACATACTTTCTTCCTTGCATGGTTATAGCACAACAAATATTTCAATAAACGAACTAGTTCTTCGAAACAGTCTGCTTGAGATGCATTCGAATATCTTAGTCAACACTTTTTTGATTGATTGGTTTACCTTTTGCACAGTGTCTGCTATTATAATCACGGAGCTATGAATACGAACGTGTACATGTATTCATAGTTCTATGAATATAACACTGTAACGTGCTGCCATCTGGCCGTGTTCTGCTATAAAATCACGCAAAACGAACTGACGAAATCAAATGACTATGACGAATAATTTGCGTTTCTAACTCATTGAAGATAATGTGTATATTTTAAATATCTTTGATCACAATTAATGAAATTATTCAAAATTGTAATGCGATAGAACAAAAGTAAGGGAATTATTGGATTCAGGTGACCAACTTACGTATAAAACAAGTGTCAAAATCAAAAAAGGAAAATTTATGTTGACATGTGTAATTATTTAGAAACTTAAACTAGTGGTGCTACCGAATGACATAGACTTACTCGTTTGAGATGGTTTTCTAATGTCTTTGTTCTAGGCTAGCTTTTCGATCTGGCCTCATCCTCTTGCCAGCTGTCATCTATCGCCGTCTAAATATATTTCTTTGAAATTTTCTAAATTTTTCGGTTTGCTAATGGTAGAACCGAAATATTACTTTACGAATATTATCGAAAAGTAAACTCTCATCATATACGGAAATTTTCGTTGAAAAATGTGGATCTGTATATAAGAAAACGCTGTTTAAGGACACCTACAAGAGTTTAGGATGAAAAAATATATTTTTTATGTAATTTGATTGGCAACAGTGCGTAGATTATACGTAGATTATATTAATATAATATATTTACGTGTTCGGACCTTTAAATGCTATTGAAATTCGATTCAAAAATGGCGCTGGGAGGCCACTCCTTAATTACACTGACCACCAACGAGTAATTGAAGCAGGATAAAATATATACAAAACATTAGTAAAGAGACCAGGATCAATAAGAGAGCTGAGAAAAGGAAGAGAGAAGATGAAACGCAGAATTGTGATGAGTATGAGGCAGGAAAATTTTAACTTGGTTGTAACTGCAGAAAACGCCTCATAATATGTAAACGCGTTTTCCCAAAACTTCAATTTTTCAAATTCAGGTACAGATACTTTTAAAACTATTGCATGTACATTTCTTAATTTTTTTGTGGTTGTGTAATATAGCAAATTCTATACAGAGCATACAACAAACAAATTTCAGTTGTAAAATCCTTTGTATAAAAGATATAATTTTCACTTAAAATACCATAAAAAGTTTATTGCTTATTCAAAAATTTGTAAAAAGAAAAATTAGCATCCAATCATTTTTTCTGGTAGATTTAAGTCAATAAACATGTTCTGCATACACTGTTAAAATTTTGTAGGTCTGCCTGCATAAGTTTTTAAGAAATGTGGACCTAAATATAGACTATTGTAAGTTAAATTTAATTTTTATCTCCAACTTTCAATGTTTATAACTCCAATAAAAAACAAACTTAATCAAACATGTGCTGTTAATTTAGGAAAGAGTTCTTTGTGATGAGCAGAAAATTTCATATTGATACCTTAAGCAGAAGGAAAAATATTTGCATGTTTATGCTAGTGCTCTTTAAATGCTGAAAATGGTGTCTGGGTGTCCTTACGCTGTAAATGCAAAATTTGAACTTCTTTTTCACAGAAATCTTTTGAGTTCTTGAAAAACTTTATTGGAATTTATTTGAAGCACTTCTACTCAGAAACGCACAAATGTATACATGCTGGAAATGTGCAAATTAACGATGTGAGAACTATTTAAGAACAATTAATTTGCGTAATTATTAAGAAACAAAATAATACAGCAAGATTATATCATGTAATCATAAACAGTGCATTTAGCACTATCCGTTCAAAAGGTTTTAAGAAAAAATTGGAGCCGTTTTTAAGAAAAAATGCGTTTGGGCGTTTCTGAAAACGTGGAATTTCGAACTAATTTTCACTTTTATAATTCACTCCTACTGTGCGAAAACTACTAAAACTTTCAAAAAACGTGAATGACTCTAATAAAAGAACTAATTACGGAGAAAAAATACTTGAAGGAAAAATCTCCTATCTTCATTTATGTAGTTGTAGTAAGGCGCCGAAAAAAATCAATTTTGGTAATTTTCCAAAAAAATTTGACACTGCTACCACAGGTGTGAAAATTGTACGCATGCACCATAAGTGCAGTTAATTCTAATTCTAACAGGAATTAAAAGAAAGACGGTTTTGAGAAATTTTTGGGGGATAATTTTTGAAAATGTCCTAGGGAGCTTTCATGTAAAGTACTTCAAATATTAATGAGATGTTTTTCCAAACATCCATAGAGGTCTTCAATGTGAAGCCTAAGATCGACAGGGGTATGTTCAGTTTGGGAAAAAAAATCGTTCATATAGTTTAGGTGCTAATGTTCCATGGACGGACGGTCGTCGGACGGTCGGTGTCGGACGGTCGGTCGACGGTTCGGACCGTCGGTCGGAACGTCGTCGGTCGATGGGACATTTGAAAAAAAAAAAAAAAAAAAAAAAAAAAAAAGCAAGCAACACACTTTCGGTATAAGGGAACCCCACGACGTGTATTTCACGTCAATAAATCAACTTTCTCAAACTACTTACGTGTGTTTATGCCCGTAATTACGTACGTATACTGGAAATTTAAAATAATGCCGCATAAATAAAAATTTACCAACCTCTTGTTCTTCATAAACTTTTTCATTAAAATGGGTTGAGGGTCATACAACGTTAAAATGTTCGGCGCATGCTGGTGGGTGCCAGTCGAGTGGCAATCCTTCCCACGG